TCCCGGATGACTTAGTAACTCGTGGCCACGACAAAGTATTTCGTGCCCACGACTTAATTATCTCGTGGCCACGACTTAGCAACTCGTGGCCATGGCATAGTATCTCGTGCGCACGAGATAAATAAAAAAACACACACACATGCCACCTTTGTGCCACCGTAAAAATAAAACATTACGAATTTCTCCCGATAAAAACAGAGTTAGTTTTGAACTTATTGCCACACAATTAAATAATCCGATTGCCACCCGATATGAATTTAGTGGATATTTAAGCAGGTAACAATATTGTAAACATAACTACAATACAGACGTAAACTGAGTATACAGACTAAATAACCCTAACAAACTAAACTCTATAGGATAGAAAAAAAGATAAAAAGAAAAGGTGACAAATGTCAGAAGTATAAATGTATTAGAAATTATAATGCATTTGTTGTTCTACTGACTGTAAGAAGAGGAAAATATAAGGGAGAGAAAAAGTTGATTAGATCTACTTACCTTTTTTAATATAGAAAAAGATGGAAAAATTTAATTCATCAATTGAACAGTTTCTGTGTTTCATGAAAATAAAAATAGTAAAATAAGTACCAGCTTATTCAAAGGAAAAATAATAACAAAACAAACAAACTTACTGCTGGAATTTTCTAACCAGAATAATTAATGATAATAATAAACAGGTAGAAGGGAGAAAGAAAAATAGAACTTGAAAACTTTAGCTAAAATATATCGATAACATAACATAACATAACATAACATAACATAACATAACATAACATAACGTAACATATCATCACATATATTTTATAAGTCTTAAGCACATTTACAGCTCATCGACCTTTTGCATATAATATGACACGTTTTTGTAGCATGCGTGGTGATTATTATCATATTTACAGAAATATACAGAAAAAACACATACATTATACACAAAACGCAACGGCTACACACAATAATAAACAGCGAGAATTCATATACCTTTTACAAAAACAGAAAGCTTAGTAAATACATCATCTATTACTATTATGTTGAAAAGTACACATTCACTGTTTGAACACTAATTAATCACTCTAAAAAGGATTGTCTGATTCTAAAAGCCTTAAGCATATATATTGCTAGCTTGATAAGCACATTTTTATTTGTCGAATTTAAAAGTTCAATGAACTTATAAACACTTGCATGATTACAGTAATAGTCACTTATATACTTCTTTCTGATGTCTCTATATAATTTACATGTTAAAACGAGGTGGAATTCGTCTTCAATGTCATTCATGTCACATAGCATACACTTTCGCCGATCTCAACTTCAAAAGTTTGTTTGATTTCCTTGTACATGTATAAATATTGTGAAGGACACGTGTTAATATTTATATATCATTCTGCTATGTAAAAGTCTCTTAGTCTCTGTTTCAGAACAGGCGTAAATCTTTCTATACAAACAGATGCTGGGAAACCCCATATTTCACCAAAACCAATTGCATTTAATAAATCTTTTACTTTTAATAACCAATTGTCAATAGCATTTGCAGTCAAATTTAACAATCTATCAAACAAAGTATTTAAAATACAATTCCTTTTTCTACTGCTCAGTTTTATAAAATATTTAACTGCTTTTACTTTCCGATCGATTAACAAAGGGAAACGACCAGACTCAGCATAAACCCGTACATTACTAGTAGACATTTTTACACCTACTGTCCATTTAATAAATTTTCTATGCACCCGTTCTATGAACTCCGCACTTGACAGATCTCATATTTCACTAGAATATGCCAGAATTGAGCTCACAAAAGAGTCGAATAAATAAAACATTATTTTTGTTGGTACTTGCATATTTTTACCAATGAGAATAACGACCCGACCACTTTGAGTCCTTTTGCCGCTAGCGTCATTAAATTGTTGCTGTTCTAAAGGAACCACCGGATGTAAACCGGATGTAAACACTAGACCTAAATAGTTGAAACTATTCACTATCTCTATTTCTTCATTGCCGTAATGCCATCTTTCATTTGCAGATATACTGCCTCCTTTTCTGAAGACCATAATTTTAGTTTTTTGGATATTTACAGTTAAGTTCCACTTTTCGCAGTAGCTCTGTAAGCTATTTATCGATGATTGTAAACCTTCAATAGTGTCCGATAGAAAAACGGCGTCGTCGGCAAAAATGATTAGATATAAAGATAATTGATCAAGATTTATTGCCGCATTTAAGTTGGATTGTAGATTCGTTTCAAGATCATTCATGTACAAGGAAAACAAGAACGGTGAATATTTCGCCTTGAAATAGACCGATATCATTCTGGAAAAAAAAGTCTGACAAATCATTAAACTGCCTTACACAACATTTAACATTTGCGTATAGTGAACGTATAATTTGAAACTGTTTCCCGTCTACACCATTTTTAATGAGGTTCAGGTATAGTGATGAACGGTCAATAAATTCGTATGCTTTCTTCAAATCTAGAAACAGACAATGTAGTCTAATTTTGTTCCTTAGGTGATGTTGGATGACTTCATTTAAAACAAATATTGCGTCTGTGGTACTAAAGTTAGACCTAAAACCGAAATGTGAATCCGAGATTATTTCATTTTCGTCGGACCATAGTTTAAGCCTATTATTATTTATAATAGACATGAACAATTTGGCGAAACAGCTTACAAGAGTTATCCCTCTATAATTATTCGGATCATTTGTCTGACCTTTCTTAAAAATTGGCACAATAATACCTTTCGCCCATTGTTCAGGAATAGTACCCATTTCTAATGTATTTTGTTAAATAATTTTTCCACATGCGGTAATATTATGTCGAGGGTTGCTACAAAATGTTCAGACAATAAATTGTCAATCCCGGGCGCTTTATTACGGTCGAAGCTAGTATTAGTTATAGGAGAGTCTAACTCTTCAAATGTGACAGTATTTGTACCTAATAACGTGTTTTCGTCAAAACTACTGATAAAATCTTGAGTTTCTGTATTTTCGAATCCATTTGAACTGGAATTGTTCAAGCGGAACTTCGTTGCTGTTTGATTGAACTTTGCTTTTAAATAGTTTCCAGAACTCCTTTGGTTTACTGCTTCGCAGTCTGTTCATTTCGGAACACCTTTTGATGTCAAAAGAATGCTTCGCTTTCCGTAAACAGTACTTATAGTCTTTTTTCCGTTGCAATAAAATCGTTCTATTTTTCGCGGATCTATCAAATATAAATTGATGTAATGCATTTTGATACAATGTTTTCTTTTCACGGCATTTATTGTTATACCACAATTTACTCTTATTATGTCCAGTTTGAGTAAATATACAACACTCGGATATATATACTTTTTTTTTGTAAAAACTGTTCGGCTTTCGACAAAATAAAGTCACTGAATTGGTCGACCGTGTCATTCACTGACACATTATTCTCCATTTGCAAAGTAATACCGTTTACAATTTCTATATTTTGCGACATACTATCTCGAAATTCCTGTCGGTATTCATTATTCCCTGCGTTAGCACGCTTTCAGGCTCAATATAATCCTTCTTTTGTCCCACTCTTCTGTTAAGGTCACCAAATAAAATAGTTCGGCCTAATTCTGAGTAATCTAATACTTCGTCAACATTATATAAATTGTGTATAACAGATAATTCCGGAGCGATACGCTAGGTACCAATCTTTGTCCGTATTGAAAAAAGTTTTATCGAGCTTAAGCCAGATAATATAATCGGCATCATTTTTATTTGTTTGGGTCGTCAGACCAAACAAATAATTGTAGCGAAATTTCAGACCATGATGCTGTTAATTGCAAATGCCGAAAGTAGTCCGCTTTTTTGAAGCGGTTACTTCCCTTTATATGTACACTAACGCCGAAAGATTCAGGGGAGATTACTGCGTAAAGATGGTCAAATGACAGGCGCATTAATTTTCAAGCAAAATAGTTCCCGAATGGTCGAATATTTCTAATATTGTTTTATTCTTTATAGATATACATGCTTATAGTAAGCTCCATGATTATTTAGTTAAGGCAACTCTTTTTTTAAAAATTGTTTAAGTCAAATAAACATTGAATTGAATGAATATCAGTGTTGCAATTAGTCTTATAGCCAATTTACTACAATTAAAACGCTGGAAAGCATTTATGGCACTATACAAAACCTTAAATATAAATTTAAATATACATATGAAAATAAGTTAAGCACACCCCAGAAATTAAAAATTGGTTATGATTGAAATCACTGTCATGAGCTAAGAAATAGTAATGTGATAAGTAGTCATACCAAATTACTAACCATAAACCAGTAAAGTTATGAGTTTAGTTTATTTTTCACCAAATTGTTGAAGCATAAGCAAATTTGTTGTTTTTTACCAAAAATGTAAGTATTTAGAAGTATGTTGTTGGAGCGTTTACAAAACCTCGATGATATTTTTGGTAAATGTTGACGACAACGTAACCTAAAATGACATTATATAGCAATTTTTAAATAACGAGTGTAACCGCCACGTGCCCGGTTGAGAGTCTCAACCCTTCTCCTCATACTACCAGAAAGGCATCTAATGTGATTTTGACGTAAATGTTGCCATTCTTGGTGCAGAGCTTGTTCCAGTTGTTGCAGGTTGACTACAGGTGGTTCGTACCATTTCCCAAATAAAAATTAGAATTTAAGTTGGGTCATGTCAAAAATTGAGGCAAAATGACGGATGTGAGGAGAAGGGTTATCATTTAAATCAGGTTTGGAGATTATACACTATCAGGACTTTTCTTTTGTGTATTCTTTTGCAGGGGCCATTTATACGCCTTTTCATCTATGGGGAATTCATTTCGAACAATACAGTTTTCTTCTTTAATCCCATAAACATCAACTTTTTTCTTCCTCGTTTGCAAATAGAACATGTTATTTTCCCTAAAATTTTAGGGAAGGTCCCTAACACTGTATGGGAAGAAAAGCTCTGATTATGCAGTATCTTTTACATATCTATGAAGTGAAAGTTCCAAAGAAAGGTAAATATTTTAAACTTCTGCATGTCTGAAACATAGATAAATTTATTTCAATATACAAAGGAATAACATGGCACATCATAAAACATACACAAAAAACAACAGATACAAGATTTGGAATAGATAAAAAGCCATCACGAACAATATCATATAATGTATAAAGAATAACAAAAACAAACTTATTTCAATCGTGACCCTTAAGATATATCATTGCGTGACATAGGAAGATAAATGGGGAAACACAAATTTAAATATAATACAGAAAATGCTCAAATAAAATCTAAAAATTGAAAGACATTTCAAAATTGAGCATATGAGGATCCAAGTAAAAACAAATTTTTAAATTTGAATGATGAATATCAATTCAAACAGGAAATAAGAGGTCAAGTAGATCGATCGATCGATCGATCTACCTACCTACCTACCTACCTACCTACCTATACCTACCTACCTACCTACCTACCTATCTATCTATCTATATCTATCTATGAATGTTGGTATAGAATAAATATTCCAAAGGTCTATCACCGCTATAAGTTCGAATCAAACTTTGGATTAATTGTTTAAATAAGAGCGCAGTTTCTTACTTAATCATTGGTAAGCGTTAAAGTGCATTATTGTGTAAACGTTATTCTTCGCAGAACTACATACTGCATACAACTTATCTTTTTAAGAAATAGCCTTCAGCATGTAAGATCCAATCAAGTGTTTTTTTTTTAAATGGCATACTATGCGCGTACTATGTCTGCCCCGCTTCTATATATCCGAGTTATCTGCTAGAAGAATCCTCGCTCAAATAAAGAGACACCACATATCTTTTAACTATTTTGTTGCAGACCCGTTTTAAGAGGCACATTATACGTCGGAAATGAATAATATTTTCTTATTCAGAAGAGACAAAGATGAGGTAAATAAGGTTTTAGAAATGGATTTCATGCAAGCTATTTGATTTAAGACAGTACCGTTTAATGTAAATTAATATGTAGCAAAAATAAAGTTGTGTTTTGACTACCTTATAAAATATAACAATACAATAGAATGCTTTACAAATTGCTATAGAACAAAAGGAAGCAAAAGGTGGTGCAGCTTTATGGCCTATGATTTCGTATGAATTTGTGACATGATAACAAAATAAAAAGCTTTGAGAAATAAAAAAAATGACGTTTAATGGACCAATAAACATTTTTTAAATACAGTATAAGATTAAGTTGTTTCTTGTGTTTGAGAAAGACAAAGAAGTATACATTCATCTCGAATACAATAGACTATTTATATATTTTGATATCAAAACTTTAAAGATCCTGTCGGTTGTAATTGAGGTTGTATACCACGCTTAAGTGAAATTATATATATGCATATAATTATGCTTATAAAACAATTTTCAAACATCGAAGAATATGGAAAATATGTACTGCAAATATTTGTACATATTATATGTAACCATTAAAATATATGTATTCATTTCTTATTGAAAAATTTGACTAAGACTTAGTCTTTCTAGAAAATAAAAAATTTATTACCTCCCTTTATTTACATGAATTGTTAAATTCGGTAATATCTTTATAAATAATGATTTTTGGAACTTACAAAATTGATAAATCTTAATTTGAGCATCATATTTATGATATAAAACCATAAAAAATTATGTTACAGGATCTTTAACTGGTAAAGTGCTAAATAACCAAACTTAAACATTTGTTTATGTGACAGAAAGTTTTCAGTGTGTGCAAACGTACATGAAGTTTTGAATGAAATGTCTTAATTATCCTGTCATAGTTTTCAATTTTCAACGCAAAAAGTTAAATTGTGCTCCCACTTTGTTTTCTGTCCCATGCTCTTTTGCTTCCACATGTAATTCCGTATCTCCAAATTTCATGATTATGTCTACACGAGTTGCTCGTCCAGGAAGCTGACGTAAATCAATTACTCCGAGCTTTTCGCAGCCTGTATCTGTTATGAATGCAGGTTCTTCCAATATTGATTTATATATTTCAACATATATACTTGATTCGGATGTGTTGAACGAATGAGTTCTCTGTGTTATGCCCGGTTTAATTTTCTCTCCTATTTGTATAAATACTTTGAAGACATCTTCACACATGTCTTTGTATTTGTGCATAGGTGGGTGTCTCTGAGGATCAAAGGGGACAGCTATGCTTACACCTATGATAGAAATTATATTTAAATTATTTCTTACTATGCTTTCGATCTTTTGTTTTTAGTGCATGTATGTTATTGAAATTATTTTATTTTAAGAGCGCGAAGCACGTGTAAAAATGTAAAAATCTTTACGATTCGAATTGAGATATATTCAGTTCTTACTCTAAGTAACAAATTTTCTTTTTCTCTTATCCAATGACACCAAAAATGACGGTTATTCATATAACGTTACTAAGACTTCGTAAATGAGTACTATTTTTCCTTAAAATGTGAGTTCGTAATAGGATAAACATATAGACATAACTTATCTTTACCAAAAGAGATTCATTTATTATTTATTGAATTTGTTTCTCTTTTAGAGGTATATCTTCCATATTCTTTCACAAAAAAATTTACCTGTCATGAATTTTAATAAATTCATTAATTTTCAATTCATTTTTTAAACTTTCAAAAGACCACACAAATTAAAAGACAAGCAGATTGCAAAAAAAACAATACAAAAACAAATAAACACAATTAACTGAAATTACGCAATAATGAATAATACTTATGATACCATGTTAAATTTGGCCCATACATAATGTGTAATTGTGCTAAGCACCCTAAACCTTTTTGTTTTATAAAGTGGAACGCGTTTTGTATCATTTTTATGTACTTCATTGAACATTTTATTTTCCTTTTGTATCTTACAAGTTGCTGGATTGTTTAATAACCAAGTACTTATCCTAATTCTACAGCTAACAGATTGACATTATACGAAATTATGCCGTGAAGTAAAATGAAAAAGAGGGATACATTCTAGCTTTAACTTTGTAAAAATGATTTTAAATATAAGTACACTATAATATTAATACAATACCATATGTACAGGGTGACCGTCTGGAATCAATTACTCTTTGATCGTGTCCAAATAGCACAGCACCTAAATACAAATAACTCAATTATCGCTTGTCGCAAAACGTACGTGACAGCTTTTATTTCCTTTTGTAAAAAAAGGTTAAATATAAAAGATATTTCGCATATTTTATAGAGAATATAGTGCTTTCATTACATAATTGCAACCATGCATGCATGGCACAACATGCTATAGTGTGAAACGATCATTCTTAATCGATATTCTGCTAATTTAAAAAAGATGTAATTAATCCTAACATACAAAATCTACTGCAGCCTACACCGAATTATGTTTTTATCACAAGTACCTTTATTATTATCTTTAATTTCTTTTTAAGCAATAAAAATAAGAAGTATCTATAACGGCTGAGGTATAATTGGTTAACTTGCATATGTTATTTCTAAGTTTTCCTTACATATAGAAATGTTAGCAATGCTTGCATAACAATAACATAATTATTTTTTGTTGGGTTATTAATCTTGACAAATGGAACTCTGAAAGATGTATGTGTTCCTAAATGAGCCTGCCGTGTTACTGTAATTGGACGCCAGCATCCCAGTCGCTAGACAATTACATTTACAAATTGATAAATATATGTCCAAACAGTCATTCAAGCATAATGAATTTGAAAAAGCATGGGAAAAATTCAATAATTTAGTGAGCCCCTTATGATTGTGATGTCTTTTCTTTTAGATTTAAATTAAATTTATAATAAGTTTGTAGGGGTGTTACTACATGTTTATAATTTTATTCATAATTATTTTTAAACTCTTCCCCCATAAAAACTTGAATGTTTATAATTAAATTCATTCCCCCTTCCCCACAAAAACCTGAAAAATTACTCCAAGAAAGAATTACTTGCCAGTTCATTTATATGTTTAAGGTTACCGCTTAAACCCGAAAACTCTAGTAGTTGGCACCAAAAACCTTTTATATAGGTTTTTTTTTCTCTATTCCTTTTTTTTTTATAATAATTTTTTCTCTCTTCTTTTTACTTCTCTATAGTTCAATGTTTCAAACAACTGTCTAAAACATTAAAAAAAAACAACATCAAAATGAATTAAAGTGTTTTCTGTTAGCACTATTTAATTTTTCACTACCTTTTCTAGTGTGATACCTTAAACATGTTTTATCAGTAAAATGTGTATGATTTTTTTCTCTCCTCCTGGTAAAGGTATATGTGGGTTATGTATTTACAAGTGAATTGTTTTGAATTTTATTTCTTTACGTTTGGAAAATTAACTGGTGAGATAATACCTGTATCATTTTATATTTACTGTTTTTTTTTGTTGTTGGTGTAAAGAGATAAGTGTGTTATATTTAAAATACAGGATTACTGTCGGTTGTTGTTGTTTCTTTAATGGAGATCTGAAGATATAATTGTTTTCGATAAGAACAATATGAAAATCAGAAGTGTTTTGGAAACATTAATTAAAGAATGTAAATAGCATGCTATAATTATAATTATGAGTTTAATTCTTCATTAAAAATGTATTATGTTACAATAAATCAAATTGTATAAACATCCAAGTAGAAATATACATTTTTCTCACAGTCAACAGAAAAATAAAAATAATGTTATAACATTTCTAGTTATATGCTGGACATAAAGAGGTTAATTATTGACAGCTTAGATTGTAATTTAAAAAAAAATATATTACATTATAAAAAAAAAACAAAAAACTCCCATAGAATTTTTAAAAATTATAATCTTTTACTCGAAATTAGTACTTGTAACATGTATTATATATTATTATTCAAAAAGATAATTTAAGTTTGAATGTATTGTGTACTTTTTTGTATGTGTGTAGAAATATGTTTATTATTGGGAAAAATAAATGGGTAACCTATGGTTACTGAAATTAAAAAAAAAATACATTTACAAATACTTGATTAATGTGCAAAAAATATATGATACTTATAAACATAATAACAATTGAACACATCGATGATCATATACTATATTAGACATTTATTGAAAATCATAAACTGAGGGTACCTGATAAGTTCGGATTTGTGTGTGTGTTTCAATATTCCCACGTGCATGAGTAAGCTAACAGGATCGTAAAGGTTAATATTGTTGGTATCGTTAATTTGGACAAAAATTATAACTCAGTAAGTTCCTGTGTAAAAACTCAGTCAATTCTAATGTAGAATAAATTGCTCACTAGAAAATGAAATTAGATCAAAACGTAGTGTCAAATGTTTTGTATGAGGAAGCACGTAAACATATCATATTGTAAGTATTTATTTGGGAAAAAGATTATAAGAAGTTTTACCCTTAACAACTGCTGTTGCCGCCTCCTCCGGAATAATCACTCGTTTATCTCTGAAGGTCTCCCTAATCGTTGTTTTCAGTATTTCACATTCGGAGTATCCCCCAACCAAAACCAGCGTGTTAATACTTTCCATGTCGGGTCTAGCAAATATTGCTTTTATGTTGTCTGTTAGACTTTCAATTGACTCTTCAAACATATTACTGAAGATTTCTTCATCGATGATCAACCTGCCTCTTTTCTTCGTGACTTCATTTTTTGGATACATTCTTTTTAGTTTGTCTGTGATATCTTCAGTCTTATTCTCTTCTTGATAAATCTCAAACAAAGAACTTGGCAATGTCAAATTTACTTTCCCCTCATCATCACTGGTACTTTTAAACTGTCTTTTCTTTAGCTCAAGTGTCCTTACCATATCCAACATCTCTGTACAACTCTCTTGTTTTAATATTTCAAGAACAGTCCGCCCAAAAATGTCTTCCAGAAAATTGTAGATATGTTCGTCAACAAGAGTTCCACCCCAAGGTCCTCCACTTGGTGGATAAACCTCGTGCAATTTGCCATCTTGATTAACTTTATGTACAGTTATGTCAACCGTCCCTCCTAATAATTGAATAGCATAATAATAATAATAATAATAATAATAATAATAAAAAAAAAACATTTAAAACGCAAAAAAATATATCAAAGCAATTAACCATATTATTTTTATAACTCGGATCAAAAAAATATTTAAAATTGAATACATAAATACATGTTTTGGGTAACGACAACTTAAGTTTGTAAAATAACTATCAATATACATTTTCATGTATCAAACCAATATCTCTTGTGGAATAATTATCAACACATGTTTTAATTGCACTGTATTCTAACTTTAATGGGTTCTTTAAAGGACAAAAAAAAAACCAACAAATACAACAACAACAACAAAAACGAAAACAAACAAACAATTTCATAAAAAATACCTCCTAAATCAATCACCATGAACTGCGAATTATTGTTGAAGGCAATTCTGTTTTCTCTGTCATTTTGAAGATAAGACAGACGTTTTAGCAAATATGGCTGCTGCTTCTGGTTTCTAGCGGAGAGCACGAGCTGACCTTTCCTGTATCCCAGCCTGTATATTTAATTATTATTTCAATCAATTAGAGAAAAATTTACATTCAAATTCAAATTGAGTTTGATAATTCATATATCCAATTATAAAGCTACAACATTACATGATTCAAGACCTGTATTCTGACTTCGCGGGAGGAGGCTTTATGCCCATTTGCATGTAAACATTATAGGTGTGTGAAAATGGAATAGAATTGATTAAAGACTAAAGGAATAAATCAAGAAATCAATTTTACGCAAAATTTAGTCATCTACCATATATTTATCAAATATCAAAAATTTGTTAGATTTTTTCAGCATGTCGGAAAAACCCTTTTTTTCTGATTGCATTAAACAAATATTGCACACATGCTTTTTATCGGGAACAAACAGGAATATAGGTTCTAGGATTTGTTTATAGCTCTCTGGTCTAGAATATTAATCATTTGTATTTGTTTATATATAATTTAATAACTACTGTTTAAAAAAAAAACATATTCCTTATATGTAAATGCAGAATAATAAGCTTGACAAATGACGTGAGAGACTTATTTTACAGTTGATTTACCTGTTCAGCTGCCGTTCTCATGAACTGCTTTGCAGAGTCGCTCCAGATTGCTGGAACAGTTAATACCCATAGTATATCGTTTGTTAGTATACCGGCCTTTTGAGACTGTTTGTCGTTGACAGATGTTTCATTTACTCCAGAAGATTCGGTCAGTTTATGTATAAGATGGTCCTTGAGATATTTGATAGATGCAGCAAACACTTCTATTGCTTTCATTAATTTGCTTTGGTCATCACGTAGTTTTGCTTTCAGTGACAGGTTCTGCAAATTGGTTTTAGATTTATCGTCAGAATATGAAAGGAAATGCTTGAAATTTTTTAATAAAATTCCCATGTTTTGTTAGCAACAAAAGCAGTCGACAACTTTACAGATTTATTTAACTCGTGTAAGAAGATATACGGTATTATCCCATCCAAACACCGTGCATTTGATCTGACACAATCAATCCCTTCACAATACTTCAGTAGAAAAACAGATCACGACTTAAGAATAAAATAAGTTAAGAAAGTTTTCCTTATTTTTGCATGAAATATATTAAAGAACCTGTGAATTTTCGGATAAAACAATTTCACAAATTTATGTAAATTTCAATATAATAATTGTAATAATCCATAAATATATCTTGTTCGTTGTCGATATTTTATACCGTAAGATGTAACACTAAGACTATTAATATTTCAGTTATAAACATGATTACTGATGTTTCAGTTAAACACAATTAAAATATACACCAAATCAATATACATCATCATATTGTATTTGAGTGAAGTATAATTGATAATTCTTTTTTTTGGTATGGCTATAAATATTAGTTTCGCTCTTTTAAAGGTTGCATTTGTTAACATATATATGATTCATTTTCTCCTTGTCTTTTCACATTAGATTTTGTGTCATGAGTAACAGACACAAAGTCTTTTTCTTACATACTTGTTTAGAGAGAAAGAAGGGTAACTTATAACGAAGTGATATGTACATGTATGAGTGAAATAGAATAGCACCTTGTACACAATTAGTTTATAAAACATAAAATAAATCTTACTCACTGGTTTATTATGTAGACTCATTTTAAAATGACGAAAATATTTCCATCCTATATGTTTGTCGGACGACGCAAGCTTTGCATATTTATCTTCTGCCTTAAACAATGTAAAGTGAACAATTTTAAACGGTAAAACCTTTCGAAAAGAATATTATCTGCGGGTTGTATTTATTTGGATTAAAACGAAATAAAATGGATTAAATTCAAATATAGACAAAGTTGTTCAAAATAGACGTAAATATTGTCATTAAAAAATATTATCAAGATAGGAAATTTAAGAAATTTTGAAACGAAGCACAAAAATACAACAAAAATGTATAACATCAAAATATTAGAATTTTAGGTATAAAACTTAAAGTAAAAAAAAATCAAAGAAGAAGCAGAAGAATAAAAAAAGAAGATGGAGAAGAAGAAATTTGAAAAGAAAAAAGAGAAAAAAGAATAAGAAGGTGAAGGAGAGAAGAACAAGAAGAAGGAGAAACAAAAGACAGCTGTTTTCTTCGTAAAAAAACTTACTTCGTATCCAAATGAATGAAACTTTCCATTTCCATCAAATAAAGCACACGTGGGCTGCTTTAACGTTAAAGCTCCGCAACCATCTGTCCATGTATTAGAGAATATCTGTAAATACGTTGTATGTTCAATAAAGAAATTTTCGATATACAATTTTGTTATCTTAACTGAAACTATTTGAGAAAAACGGCTTTTAGAAATAAAAACATAACATTTACGACAGGCATTTCTAATTGAAAACAACTTGCATAAAATACAAAACTATTTTTTGTAAAATGTTATAATAAAATAACGATGATGATGATGATGATGATTTAGTATTACGATATTAATAGAATAAAGATCATGATAGAAATTATAATCGTGATGAAAAAGATAATGTTAATGATAATATAAATAATGATAAAAATAATGATTGAACTTATCTTGTCAGTTTCAATCTTATTTCAAAGTGCCGTATGAGATAAACTAAAATAACCTATAATATAACATTGAATACCAAATAAGATAACCTAAAATACCATACTTAAATTTTGTTTATCAATTTGTTTAGTCATAGCAGAATAACGCACACACTAGAATTACTACTATTCGGTGATTTGTAACATAAGTCTTATGATTTGTAATGTAATCTGTTACTCTGAAATAAACGGTTTATGATATGATAATATATTAACACTGTTATTGCAAATTAATTTTGAAATCCCATTTTAGTAAACTTGAAGAAGGATGTCTTAAATTCATTTCCCCTATTCCCCGACCCTATAACCCTATAAACATATTCAACCAAATTGTCAAAATGGAAAACACTAACAAAGCCCAACACGGAAAAGTTGAAAATGTGGCAGACTCTGTTTGATGGACGGCACTGGCTATGCACAGTACCTTTCTCCAAACACCCCGATTTAAGACGATAATTAAAAAAATAAAATTCACTAACTTAGAAACATCCGCAGCTGTGTTCTCGGATCCTACTATTTGACACTTCCATATCAGATTTGTACACCAGTGTTTACAATCTGACATATATTATTTTATCAAACACGCTAACAATGATATGTAATGCTTATATATTTGTACATCCATTTTTCTTACTTTCATCAGAAATATGCTTATTACTTTTGGGAAAAAGTTATTCTTCAGATTGTTTTAAATGTTAACACTTAACTTAGTTTTAATGTTAGCAGTAACTCATATGACAACAGTGAACTGTTTGTTAATAACTATTTGTAATCCTCTAACAAAGAAAGTTCATGTAAGTAAAAAGTCAAGTACATTACTCTGGTCACGCGATGGATTCAAGACATAGATATCAACCAGTGTGACGCGTTTGTTTACAATACCTTAAGTGGGTCCGTTTTATACGAGTCTTTGAAGGAATATGCGTATCCAGAATATGTTGTCCCGAAATCAATCGCTGCCACTATAAAATGTTTTGCCATTTTTAAATTTCAGTCCACTTTGCTCGTCACATGAAACCGAAAAAGGAAGTGATATAAAATGTCTTTCTATGAACGGTTTCGTATACTATCTATGTTTGTTTACACGTAATCGATAATTAAAGGTTTAGATTTAAACTGTAATTTGTGTAGCTTGTAAAAACAGATAGAAAAATACAAAGAACATGATTACAATAATACATGTTTAAATATCCGGTACAAGATATAACATAAAAATAGTTTAAAGACATTTACGAAGTCATTTTACATGATATAAATTGTAATTTCTTTATCTGAAAATAATAAAAAGGCGTATTCATATCCATTATTAGGATGTAATCGATTGCACCATGAAAGCTGTCAATTTTATAAGTAATCGGTAGATTATGATTACTTTCAATCAAAGTTGCCATGATTAATGTTTACTTTTCCTTAAGTTAAATCAAGTATTATGAAATTTGACACTGTAATACAAATAAGATATGTAATGCAATGCATTTCTAATAAAAACAGGTATCAAATTATTGTTTTAAATCATTATTCTAATATACTTTATTCTGCACATTATGTCACCTGTTTAATGTCTTTTATTGAATTATATCAATTACTATTTGCCCAGCAATAGTAAACAGTCGGTCTACAGAAGCATATGTGGCTGGAATACACAAGTTTGATTGCAATGACATTATTATAAACAGTTACATACTTCAAATTCTGTGCAGAATTTTAAAGAACTGTGTAACTACTTAAATTCCCCTAAACAGATTATCAAGATATATAATTAATCTGTCTGAACGATCTAGACCAAACTATTTTCCTTAAGCAACAAGCCAAGTCAATGGCAAATAGCAATACAAATACATGTTCAACGCCAAGTTAGCGTGGCGGATATAATATAATATATATATACAATTACCAAAACGACTACAAAAGGTATCAAAATGACACAATATGGGTCATAGAATAATGATATAATAATGAATAAAATACAATGCATACACATACTTGTAACAGAAACTGTTTTATTGTAATAGATATTATAAAATGCTTATAATTAAGAAATAATATAGGTCTTAGCTATGTTTATCGGCTATTTAACACCGGTTTGGAGTTTTGATGCGTCGGAATTGACCCCTGAGTGGTTAATTTTTTCGCATGAAAACGACAAACCAGTGTTAAATAGCCAATAAACACCGTTAAGACCGATATTACTTTGATTCTAACAAGTTAAAATAAGGAAGATCACTTATGTTATTTTTTCAAGCGGAAATAACTTCCGGTGCCGATTTTCGGTTAACGCTGTTCGATTTTGCACCGACTCTTGCTATGATATAGAAATAAAATGATAAGATAAAAGGTATTTTATCAAGTTTTCAACAATAAAAACTTACGTCTTAGAATGGATTGAATTGTGTTTACACGTAGGTGTTTATGAATGAGTTGTAAACTTAGGATGACGTCATTACACTGCTTACGGATTGGCTCCGTTTAACTGATATGGATCAAACATGTGGCGTTTGTGTATGGAAGATATTATTTCGGTATTGTATGAAAAGAAAAAATTATAAGAATTGAAAATATTAGTTAAAAAAAGCTCTTTTATTGTTGCTTTAAAGGGCTTTATAAACTATATAAACGAGGAAGAAAACATAACAGCCGCATATACAAGTAGTTCCTTACCAGTGTTTATTGGCAGTTTAACACCGGTTTTTTCTTCTTTGTCTAAAGTGACAAAATCACGAGGAGTGTTAGAATTCCTTGTTAACCATGTACTTGCCCTTTATATGTTTGTATAATATGTGATATGATATGGCTATGAATGTATAACATTTAATGTCTAATGATTATAATATTATGCTGATAACATGATGGTTGGCCACACTCAATAATATGGTAAATATTGAGTCCCCAGTTGACTATAGAATGGACAAACTAATTATTAAATCCATATTGCATTTAGTATATATATGTGAATTTTATCGATATTTCTATATTTTCCTTCTTCAATTATCAATTTATGTGATTAACGTCCATCTAAACCTTGATAAAGAATTACGATGATTACTATCATTTATAACATCTAAGTATGTTACGTAGATAAAGTTAAATTTAAATAAACTGTAACTACATATATTAGGAAAACTACTATGTTCAGAACACCAATTTTGTAATTGTTGGTCATAGGTACTTTGTATTACTGACTTGGATGTTTGAAACATTACCATTGTGCCATAAATTTCCAAAATCAGCCAATTCATCAAGTATTGTTTTAAGAATTTTAGGTGAACTTAAGCAATATTTGATGAGTTATAAAAGTCCTATATGCGAATAAACAAGTCAAAATTTGTAAAATCATACTATCAAATAGTCTTACTTTTGCGGATACATTGAAGGAAATATTATCAAATAAGGAATACAACGATAAAAATGCTTTTTAATGTGTTGTTGGTTTTGATTCTAACATACCTTTAAAATTTATAATTTTGTGTCCATTTATCTCAGGTATACCTATCATCTGACATATTACAGAAAGTAATTAGAAGGTAATCATATCAGGCTATTTTTTCTGCGTCTTAGATCAGTGCCGTTTTTATCCTACCTTACGTGTTCTAATTTAACCTTTCCACTGTAACCTCGCTTATCTTATGAAAATAAGATAACTCCCGTTATTAAATTGCACAATAGATAGATGTGGGTTGTCTTTAACGCACTTTAATGAATAATATATATTTCGGTCTCAGTGAAAAAATGGAATTTAAGGTGCACACAAAAAATAAAAATAAAATGAAATAAAAGAAAAATGAAAAAGGAGAAAAACAGACAAATAGAAAACAACAAAAACCCTACGTAGGCTTTGAAATAATACATCATTCTTAACGACGTAGTAATATGCATAATGCAGCTTTGCTTTAAAACTTGATATCGATGGATATGTTGACATAATTGACGTCATCATTTCTATTATTTGGGTTTTGACGTCATTTAGTAATAGTTATAGTACATGAAACGAGTTAGTTACGAGGATATAACACTGGCTGGGGCGACATCAAGGGGTATTTCTGCTAAAAATGGCGAGGTCGTAAGGCCGAGACAATATTTTTTGCAGAAACATCCCGAGATGTTATCTTTGTTAATATTTTTCAGTGTATTTATATATTTATTTTATTTTATTTTATTTTATTGATTCCATTTTTTTATTTTTATTTTTTTTTGCTACTGGGAATGGTCGTTACCACTGCCCCATTGGAGCCTCTATGAAAAAAAAACGGTATTGATATATACAAGGTGCGAAAAATACTCAACCGATATATAACAGTCGTGCTTTTTTCCAATATGAATCAATGAAAAAACTGTACTGTTATATATCAATAAAGTTTTCAAATGCTCATTGAAGTGTACTGAGTATAATGGGTTAGTAAGAACAAAGGAAATGTTCCAAACCATGCGATAATTAATGAAAGCGTGTTGAAAACGGTATTCTGTCAGTTAACGATCCTAGGTTCTTTCAGATCATTGATTAAAAATGTCTGGTTAGAAGGATTGAATACTGTTTACATTGTCTCCCTTGCATCAATGACACTGAGTCTGCGGAATATTTAACTTTTGCATGCTATCGTAGCTTTCACTGCACTCAAGGGGTCCCTTGTTCAAGAATGTGCTTAGCAAGCGTTTTAAGCCAATGGTACATTAAAACTATCAATATACTGATAATATTATTGTATCATAGAATTTGTTAGTGTGATATACTTTCAATTTAACTATTTCCAGACGTTAACAATTTGAAGATCGCATTGGGATATATTAAACCATAAAGATATTAACAACTGTTTGTTTACTTTATTTAATGACGCTTTAACAACAACAAAACAAAACAAACAAAAAACCAACAACAACAATAAACCCCCCCCCCCAAAAAAAAACCGGTTATAATTCATACAAAAGCCATGGCCATTTGAGGTGTGACCCAAAAATTGAATTACTCGTAAAAAGTGCTCGAAAGCGCCAGATGTTCCGTTTACGTTTACCTTATTATTTGATCGTCAAAGTAAGACAGCTTTTATCTTATGCTAAAGTAGCTGATAAGTGTGTTCATACGTATTGCCCATTTCATACTGAGCGAGATAGAAACATATTTTATAGTTACAGAAATGTTGTATCCATTTGCGTTATGTCTCATTTTATATGGAATATTTGGAGCAGTGCAGAACGATGAGTACAAACGACCGCTCTTTGATATAGAATCAGAGATTTCGACATTGAAAAGGCAATTTAACATACAGGCATCCGAAATCAAAGCACATGTCTCTGAAATAAAGGCACAGGCCTCGGAAATTGACAGCCTGAAACAACAACTTTACGCATACGAACATTCTGGAGAAGGTATGTTTTATATATTACTACATGGAGTCTCTTTAACATGAAGATAAGCTTTCCAAATAAGTATCTTAATCGGATTTATGAAATCTAGTCCAACGCGAAACACATATTTTCCCGTGACTCCTCGGTGACACTTTGTTAAATGTCTACGGATAAGTCAAGTGAGTAAACTTATTGAACCAAAACTCGAAATTAAAGTGAGATGTCTGAAAAAGACACCTAGTAGTAGAATGTTTGTTTTTATTCATGGACTTATATTTTAACATTATAGTAGACCTAGCAGATTATTGTTTTATATATTACATTACATGAAAAACATTTCTACAAAATTTAAACAAATAAACTAGTAATAAAATCAAAAACCAAACCGGATTTATTAAGGGAAGATATATTGGAGAAAATTTAAGACTTGTATACGATATTATGCATTATACGGAAGAAAAAGATATCCCTGGTCTTTCTTCTTTCAATTGATTTTGAAAAAGCTGTAAACTCTTTGTCCTTGTCATTTGTTCAAAAAACGCCGTCTTATTTTGATTTTAGAATTTTTTAAGCGATGGTTTAACATTTTTTATAAAAACGCACAGTCTGATGTAAGTCAATATTTATTCCTGTAAAATTTTGTAACAATAGGTAGAGGATGCAGAAAAGGAGACCCGCTTCTTTGTTACATCTGTATTATGTGGTTAAATTCTTTCTCTTATGATAAGAAATTCTAACGAGATTAAAGGTATTAAGATAAATAATCTAGAACATGAATTATCTCAATTTGCGAATGATACAACATTTATACTGAACGGGTCAAGCAATTCCTTAAATCAGGCACTTGAAGTGTTACTAAATTTTGCTCATATCTCGGGATTAAATGTAAATTTTGATAAGACAAAAGTAATTTAGATAGGAATAAATAAATAAATACTCATCGAATAGTATAAAAACGCGATGGAAATTGTCATGGAACCAACAAAGTTTTACAATGTTGGGTAATACTTTTGATGTAAATTTAAAACAAATGGTACATATAAACTATGAAGATAAATTAATTAAGATTCAAAATCTTTACAAAAAAATTTACACTCCAATAGGAAAATTTGCAGATATCAAAACGCTTCTAATTTCGACTTTAAACCATCCTTTTATAGCCCTACCATCACCATCCACGGACATGATAAATAACTTGAATAATATGTTTTATGATTTTATGGGAAGGAAATTTTGAAAAAAAGGACTGTTATGATCAAAGACTATTTGGAGGGAGGTAAAAAATGTTAAATTCAAATGCTTTTATAATGTCATTAAAGATAAGCTGGTTCAAAAGAATGATAAGTGTTTTCTGTTGGAAAAAAAATCATTGTAAATGAATTTGATATGCAAAATATATTTCACTGTGGAAAATATTGCATAAATAAAATTGAAAAAAAAAAAAAAAACAACAACAACAACAAAAAAAAAAGAAGAAAAAAACAACACATTAAACGTTTTGAAAAAGACACTTTAAATGCTTTATCTACATGACAAAGATAAGTACCCTATAAATAACGATTCCTTTGCAGAACTACCATTGTTTTATAAGGCGTTAGCTGTTTATTTGTTTTTCTTTTTTCATCTTTCATGATAATCATTTATTTTCCTCTTACAAATACCTAAAATAAAATTGTACTGTGTGTAGAAATATTAAATAAAACCATGTCATGTGTTTAAATTAACAGTAGTCACCACTATTATGTATACTTATGTCTTATATTATGTAACTTGAGCTGATAAAATATGTTCTGTTCTGTTCTATTTTATAACAATAAATTGCTAATTTGCAACACAAGTATATTTCTTAATTCTTGCTTGAAACCCTGCGTATATTATATCGGAGATGCAACCTGGATGCAAAAGTTTGATCTACATTTTGAAGAAAGCAAATGGAGAGAAATATACGAAATGCTATTTCAAATAACAAAAGATTCAAGAATACAGTGGTTTCAAATTATGATTCTTCATAGAATAATTGGCACCAACTATTATTTACATAAAATGAGATATGATGATACTTTTGCAAAAATTAATGACTATTCAACATTTGCTTGGCAATGTAGTTTTGTAAAGGACATCATTGATATTTATTTCAAAACCCAAAACAAAGGACAATTTTTTTCATCATTAACTGCAGTTGAAATGATTTATGGCTTTACATATGAAAGTCCTTAATCAAAAACTAAAAATCTAGTAGTATATACTTTAAGATGTATATTAATCAATATAAAATGCAAAAGAGTTTTCCTTGAGTTGTAGGAGCTAAAATGTATAACATATTGTTACAACATTGAAAAAGAGACTGCAGTGATAAATAACAACGTTGAAACTTTTATTTCAGCGTGGGATTCTTATCATATTTTCCATATTGCAGATTAACGCAGTAGTTTGTGTTTATTATTGTTATTATTATTATTACTACTATTATTATATAATTATTATTATTATTATTATTATTATTATTATTATTCTCTCCATATATGCAGACTTAAATTTTTTCTCTATATTTACCTATATAGCTATCCCAAAGCTAGATGTCAAACTATTCTATTTTTCCCGCTTAAATTGACTTAAGAGATAAGTAAAGGACTGAAAAGTGATTAAATGTGACCGAGTGCAGATGAATGAGTGTAGTAGATCTATATAAGAATGTTTAACTTTCTTATCATGGTTGTGTTCTATTTCTACTTTAAATACTTTTTTCATTTATTATGTCTTTTTTCAATATATGAATTACAACCATTCTAGTTCACATACTGTTGTTAAATGTATTCAACATAACATAACCCATTTTAAGAATTATTCAGTTCTAAAACAGTAATGTAACGCTCACCACATGTACACAGACACAACTGCGCTCGCGCAAACACACACACGCACGCACACACGCACACACAAGCACTCAAACACGCTCTCTCATGCTCAAATACATTTTGTCCTTTTGTATAGTTATTAATACAATCATATTAGTTTTCTTTATAAGTATGGTTTTTAGCATTATTTTACTCTTGATTCACTCGACAATTCTTATGTTACAGAGGATATTCCATTGTGTCTTTAGACACTTTATCTTTAGAAAACGCAAATTGTTCTTTTATTTGTGTTCTATTGTATAATTCTTTTCTAAATATTTCAAAACTTGGTGTATATTTTTGATATTTTGTTTTAATGTTTTAAAAATGTAATAATTCATTAGAATGAGAATGAAATTAATTTTGTCACTATGCAAATGAACTTTAAGTTCTCCAAAGTATAATATTTCTTTTGAAAGATTAACTGTAATTCCAATTGAGTTTAGGCACGTGTATCATCACTTTGAATACTTTTATAGCTGTTACATAATTCTTAATGCATCGCTGTATGATACTTTATTTACTTAATTTGTTAAAAAGTCATATGTTTATATATACATACTGTACATGTATATACATTTTGATCATGAAAAAAATGGTTATGTTTCGTTTATTTATTTGTTTTGTTTCGTTTTGGTTTGTTTGTTTTTTCAATTTTTCTACTCAGATAATTTTAAACAACTTTTTAATTTTGAAAAAAATAAAGGATATTTGTTTGTTTGTGTGAAAGATGAAAATTTATTTCATCGAGTGTGCTTTAAAAATAGTATTCTCGCGAGTGGCAAAGCCACGAAGGAGAATACTGTTTTTAAAGTTCACCCGATGAAATAAATTTCATCTTACACAACAAATATAAACTTCACGGATAAATCAGTAATCCACCCAAAAGCATAAAATAAAATCTGATAAAACGTTAACTACTGTGCAGTGACTTAAACGTCTAATAAAAGTAGATCATTATTATGTACGTAGTAAAAATGCTTATAAGCTTAGAATATATGGATATGTTATCCATCAGCAATATAAATGGAATCAAGCCTGTCATTCTCAATTTCTCATATAATTATTTTTGTTTGCACGGCTCTCTAGAGATCCCCGTTTTTCCAAATTTTACATCTGGTTTAAAAGAAAGTAACACGTTGTTTCTATAGTTAGATGATGTAGGTTTATATTAGAATAATGAAAATTGATACTTATCATACAAAAGTGCAGAATGAGTAATTTTTGCTATTTTAAATAGAAGATTATGTTGTTATTATGCATGCTATAAGAATATTCCTGTACGTTTAAATTAACTGTTAGTTCTACCGAATGGGTTTTCAAGGATGTGGTGAATTACTTGACATAAAGTTGCCAAAGACGTATAGTATCTCGAGAAGTTGTCAAAAAAATGAAGTGACTATGACTATCGGATGCAAAGACTTACCTTATAATTCGAAATCCATATTTTTATCGGAAATTACGGAAATGTTGCAGTTTAACTATTTAAAATGTCAATAGTTTTCCATTGAATGAAAACGTCATTATGTAAATATGAAATTTATAATCATCAGATGTTAATCTTGTTATCGAAGTTTTTATAAAAGTACATTTTGCGCATTACATAATGGGCGAGTTAGGAATATATAAAATAGTTACAGAAATTTTGTATTATGAAACTTTGTAATATCAATTTTCGTTATTACTTATTTTGCAACAGCACAGAAGACAAAGCAGATCAAAAGACTACTCTTACATAGTGATACGGATATAGCTACAGAGATTTTGGATTTGAAAAGCCAATTTAATGCACAGGCCTATGAAATAAAGAACCTAAAACAACAGCTCAACGCATACGAACACTCAGGGAAAGGTAGTTTCACTTTTTGATAGGTGTCAACAAACAAGTCTACCTAAAGCCTAGCATGAGTAAATTTAAGTGTTGGTACAAGTTAGTTCTAATTTGATGATTTTATTAGTATTATAGTCATTAGTATAATTTGCATAGTACTCAACAATTCGAAAACTAAAACTCTAATGAGAGGAATCAATTTTAATTTAACTCAGTATACAAAAATGTAATACTTTTGTAATGTTTTGTAAATATTTTTTTCTCAGGTTTGGGCTCATCATATGTCCGATGGGGTCGAACAGTTTGTCCAGGAAATGGATCATCTACCTTATATAAAGGTATATAAAGAAATAAAGACTGAAGAAAAACAATTATTTCAATTTTAAGATATCTGAATATTAACTTAAAGTTTCAGGGAAATTTTAAGCAAATCTAAATGGTATAGCATTGTTAGATTTTCGATATTCGAAGCAGGCCTTACAAAGAACATAATATATTAAAACACTGATACCTACATTCGCCGGGAGGTAGTGATAGAGCTATATTTACTCTATGCAAAAAGAGGCAGTTTTGTTGTTTACCAGGGGACATTGTCAAAAATCAAAATTAAGCATCCTTGTATTTTAGAATATTTAAAAACAAAAATATTTTTCATCATATTTAATTTAATTGTTGTAAGTAATTGTCTAGTTATGGTTTATGTTTGTTTTAGAGACTTAAGTAATAAAGAAATATTTTCCATTTGCTGTCTGACATTTCAATCCCTTCAATGTCAGATAATTGGAACTTCTTGCTGTTGGTCCATTTTAAATCAAATGAAAAAGAAAATTACTAAATTGAATTGAAGTAAAATACACTTATAAGTTGTTTTTTTCCTTATCCATAGGATTCATGAGTGGGACGTTTTTACCAGGTCATCTCCAAAGTGGTAAGGGAACAGGGGCTAACTTTTTGTGTCTGCCAGAAAATCCTTTATGGGATTATTATACAGATACTAAAGAAAATAATATTTTAATAACAGGCGTTGAGTACATTTTTTATCCGCATAGTACAGCTGAACAGATAAAATTCTTTGGATCTGCGCTCGGACACAGTGAAGCTCCATGTGTAACCTGTCATATCAACCGTGGATCAAACATTATGATTCCTGGTAGGACCGAATGCTTCGATGGATGGACAAAGGAATACAGTGGATATTTGGTAGCTGGTTACCCAGGATATGCAGATTCGTCAGAATACGTTTGTTTAGATAGAAGACCTGAAGTAGTTGCACATAGCGGAAACGCTGTCTATGAAAACAATTTATACTTCGTAGAAAGTCATTGTGGTGGGACGCTGGCTTGTCCTCCATACGTCGACGGTCGGGAACTCTCATGTGTGGTCTGCTCAATTTGATATGAAATTGTAAATGATGTTTTATTATAATAAGCATAATACGAAATCTTGTATTTTATGTGTGCAAGAAGGAAGACAACCCTGGCATGTAATTATGTACATATTTATACTAGTTATTTCCCTTTACAAACCAGGTGTCTTCTGAAAAGTCTTTTTAAAGATTTTGTTTTGAGTTAATTTTATAATCATAAACAATGTAAAACATGCATCCATAGTTTATAAGTTTTTAAACTAAATTTTTATGATGGAAAATAAACTAAATTTTTATGATGGAAAATTTCCATCATAACACTTTAGTTTAAAAGCTTATAGAGTTTACCTTTCCATGCATGTTTTATCATTGTTTATGTTCACGTCATATTCAAGGATTTGTAAATTTGGCGGGATTTTTTATTTGTTTGGGTCGTCAGACGAAACAAATAATGGTAGCGAACTTTCAGACTTTGATATGCTTATATTTGCAAAATCTGCAAGTAGTCCGTCAAAAACTCCTCGAAGTGGTTACTTCCCTTAATAAGTACACTAACGCCGAATTAACGGGAGATCACTGCGTAAAGATTGTCAAATGACAGGCGCATTAATTTACAAACCTTCTCAGGGAAGAAAAAATAGTTCCCGATTGGTCGAAGATTTCTAATATTGTGTAATTCAATAACATTTCCGCAAATTACCGGTAATATACGCGGATGAGTATCATTATAATCAATGAAAATTGCTCGGCTATCTCCGTAAAGCTTCTGATGATTGTGATCGCCTAAATAAACATTTGTTATTTAGACTTTCTGAAAAATAAAGTAAGGATAGTGACTCTAGGACAGGGATGAATTTAGGCAACCGACGATCAATACAAAAACAAATTTGTTTAAAATCTCAAAACCTCCACCTTTCTGACTTTCTGGAACCAAAACAAATTCAGCGCCTTCTGTGCTTTGATTTTATCTGATTTTAAAAAAGCTAGTAGCGACTCGCTTTGTCATTTTTATTTGCTGCAGCGTGTTTAAATGTCAAATTGACAGCTCTCTAAGTTTCAACAACAACCTGGATATTGATGGAATCAACAAAGAGCATTATTCAATTCATCACAAGGGGGCAAACGTCTACAAAGCGGTCACTTGAGGACTAGATATATCCACAGGGAAATTTGTCCTTATTTTATTAAAAAACTCTTTACATAATATAAACAAGGGATACAAGTCGTGGGCTCTCATCATCTACATGGGTTCGTAAAAGGCATTCACACATGTAAACTATATAAAATATCCTCTATTCCATTTAAGTTATTGTAGAAATTAATATATTATGAACATGTCATTACCCAAGTTCTACTACAAACTCTCCATTAAAAGCTGTAACATTGCAGGAAATAACAAACATTTCAATATTTACTTTGGCTGTCAAATTGTCGCTCATTATGCAGGTGCGTTTATGTTGCGAGTATTTTCATTGGCTGATAAAAAACCGCTATTCGGCGCCGCTATACGCCGTTATTATCCGGATTATAATTATTCATTAGCCAATAAAACTGACAGTTACTAATAGAAGTTGGGTTTGCGCATGGAACACACCAGCCACATTCAAAATGGACGCCAATGATAGCAATTATCAAAACAAAATAAAATTGTTAGAATAATTTGAACCAAAAGTTAATGATTGCATCGTTGATGGTGGTGGGTAATTGATATTTAACCAATGATTAAACTTTTACATATTAGCATACATTTGCATTAGATATCGTTTTACAGGTGTAATTTTACAAAATAAAGAGAATTAAGAATCCCTAAAGAAAGCCCAACACGGCAAAATTGAAAATGTTGCAGGCTCGGTTTGATTGAGCCTGTTCATGGAGGTACTGTTAAGTGCTAACTACCGTCCACCCCCCTAGAACAGGCTTGAGCAGAATTCAATATTTAAACAAGAAATGGTAAAATTTGGAATTTAGAAACATCCGCAGATGTGTTCATAAGGCGGTTATCATGGAACCTTCAATATGGCACATTAGTGCCATTCCATTAAAAGCGACGTATGGTCCCCAAATAATAAAAAGTGTGTGCCCTAAACGAGAAAACAATGGGCGGAACTAAACAAAATGGACTTTTTAAAGGTGATCAGAGGTTATGAAGCCTGCATATCACAGATAAGACGTCAAAAGACAAAGTAAAAAAGCAGGCAACATATCCTAAGAGTGACTCAATATTATTCAAGTAGGAATATTTGAACCACCCAAATCGAAAAAGCCAAATAGTTGAAACTAAAAATACCACAAACACAACAATGCTGTCGTATTGTACAATCTTTAAGGATCGGAAATATAACATCTCTGATTGAATGTACGGGGCGATTTTTACAGCCTCCACATGGCACAAACAACGCTGGTGTGGCGATAAAATAGAGAAAATAAGAATCCCCAAAGAAAGTCCAAAATGGCAAAATTGAAAATGTCGCAGGCTCGGTTTGATGTTTGCTCGAAGTTGATGTTTGTGAAAGAACTTGCCTTAACCTTTTACCCCATGAGCATATTGCGAAAAATGGCCGTTTTCATTGAAAAGCCTCCTGTAACAAGTTCAAACTGCTATGAAAGTATGAAAAATGCTTCAATACTGATGAAACTTGGCACAAATGTTGACTACATCATAGCCTCTGTAACAGCATGCTCAATCGTAAATTTCCTGTTACCATGGCAACGGGGGGACGTCTCAAAATTGCCAAAAATCACTATTTTGCATTGTATTTTTTCCATCAAAACTGATTTCAAAGTGCTGCAACTTCTCAATGAATTGAGATAGAGTAAAAGACTTTTCAGCGTCGATTACTAGTTACCCAAAGATCGACCTGAGGCCATTTTTAGCCTGTCACATGTCCAAAATTTTCTTGGTCACTTTTTTTAAACAACATTTCTCAAACGAAAACCAGTGTTTGGGGCCTAAATAGGGCATTTTTTCACTGTTTGAGGCCTCAAAAAAGGGGAGGGGCAAAAAGCCGTCGAAACACGCTTATATGAGGGCTTATATGAGGGAAAAGGTTAAATTTGTTTTAAGAATTTTAAGTGAACTTTAGAATATTCGATGAGCTTAAAAGTCCCATACGCTGATATATAAGTCAAAATTGGTAAAATCATACTATCGAATAGTCTTACTTTTGCGGATATATTCAACGAAATATGATCAAAGGATCTCAACGATAACAATACTTTTTTAATTCGTGGTTGATTTTGCTACTCACTTACATTAACGTTTTAAATTATGTGTCCATTTATCATCTTACATATTAAAGAAAGTAATCATACAGTAATCATAACTATTTTTGCTTGTAATCGATGAAAATATGATTACAGTACTAAGAAAATGCATGATTAATAATTCCTTCTGATCAATGGAAAATACTCATTGATTAATTATCGATTTAATTATTTTTTATGATTATATGATAAACCAATGTCTGTTCCATTAGCGGATACATTGTCATGACCAGACTTTACTGAAGGTCTCGATTTACATATAAATACTTTGATAAATAGTTTGCCTATTAAAATTGAACAAATTCATTCAGCCACACGGGAATATTGAAACGCACTTTAAATGAAGAATGGCCTGACCTTAGAAAAAGACTGTATGAGAGCTTTTGGAATCATAGGGACGAATTGTCCGTGGGAACTGATTTAATCTTAAGAGGTCAGAAGATTGTGATTTCCAAAGCCATGAGAACATCCAAGATAAATGCTGTACATATAGACTGGCTACAAAACACGGAAGGAGTAACAGTCATACACAAATCAAAAAATCACCTTTGAAAAAAGACAATGAGCCACAGTTCACCTCTGCTGAATTTGCCAAGCTTGCAACAAGCTGGAATTATAAACACATTACCTATTTCCCAGGACGCAGTCAATCAAATGGCTTTATTGAAAACAAATGGTTTTGGTAGCGAAAGCAGCCAACAATAACTCCGCTAAAGAAATATAAAGCTAGTAAAATCCCAAATTTGCCATTCTTAAAGTAAGGATTGCAGGTATTCACCTACCCAATTATTAATCGGAAAACGATTAAAATCTGTTTTATCTAAATTGAGAAAGAATTTATATGAAAAAATCACACTGCTGCAATTCCGAAATGACAAATAGCAAACTAACCCAAAGGTCAAAAAGGTCAAAAACCCCGAAGGTGACTTGCATATTCATAGAGGTAAAACCTGGGAAGCAGCCATTATTATCGCAGGTCATGCAGTGTTAAAATTGAGAATAATTTACTATTTTGTGAAGTATCTTGTGAAAATCATAAATCCCAGGAACAAATGATTGTAAGTCAGAATAATTCGAGCTTTTAAATCAACATCTCTGTGCACTGCATTTATCATACTTTCGAGAAAACGACATTGCTTTTTTTTCAGTAGAAAGACAGTTAACCAATATGATCGCCCATTTCCTACATGTAAATGTAATTTGGTGTACATAATGTATACATGTTGTGGCTAAAGTATACATGTATATCTGCTTATATTATTTTATGCCAAATAAAACTTGTTACGTAATGCTTTTAATTGATTAAAATAATGCCTTGCTGTAAATATTAGACTACAAACTGTACTAGGTAGGTAACTATGTCGGTAACAACAGCACTTGTAGTGAGGAATTTATCATTTTGATTTTAAAACAATTTGTAAAAGAGTGATGATGTTGAGCCAAACTTTTCATAAACGATATAATAAAAAAGTTCAAAAATGCTAAAAGAGGTGTCTTTTGGTTAATAAAAAAGTACCACGCTCCCCATAAAAACAAAAACAACAACAACAACAAACACACACACGCACACACACACACACACACACACACGCACACACACACACACACACACACACACATGAAAATGAGATAACTGCCGTAATGAAGTTGTATACTAAACAAACGAGGATCGTCATGAAAGAACTTGTATATATATGTATATTTTCGTTTAAATGAGAAATAGTATTTTACGGTGCAACGAAAAACATAACAACAAAAAATAGACGTTCATAGGTTCTTTGGATCATTGATTAAGATGTATTGTAAGGAAGATGAATACTCTTTACAATGTCTCT